GTGCGCATCCCCTCTCGGCCCCCTCCCGTGGCGCGGCCCCGCCGGCGCAGCCCCGCCGAAGAGCCGAGGAGGCTGGTGGCTACGTCGCCGCGGTCACCCGATACGCCGGCCCGCCGCCCGGGACTCGGGTTGCAGCAGGAGGGAGGGAGGTTAGACAGCCTTGTGGAAGCGCGGGGGGAGGGGCTGTGGCTTGGTCTAACCTCTGGTCCCTTCCCAGGATCCTCTTCACGGTACCCATCCCCAAAGGTCTTAGTTACCCCCACCTTGCCGGCCCTTAGCCTCCGCTCAGCAGCGCCCTTTTGCCCCCTTAATCCTTCCATGACTTAATCCCCGACTGAGTCTGGGAGGCCCAGCATGCCTAAGTTTCCTTGCTGGCCTCTGATCCGGCCTTGCTGTGTGTGATTCTGGTCCTTTGCTGGGTGTCTCTGTGCCTCAGCTTTACAAAAATGAGCCTCAGACTTATCCCTGGTGGGGAGGAATGTGATAAGCTGTATCAAGAGATGACACGATGCTGTGTTTATTACTAAGCTCTGGAACAAAGGTCCGCTATAAACTCCTCTCCTTCCTTCCATCAGAGCAGAATTCCAGACAGGCAGACAGACCTTAGCTCCACCACGGGGCACAACTCTGCCCACTCGAGTCCAGCCTCATTCCTGCCCTTCCCCAGCTCTAGCTCTGACCCACACTCCATCGAAGGAACCTGAGGCACCAGGGACCTACCTGTCCACCACCCTGTGCCTGTCTTCAGTCCATCACTATCATTGTCCCGACCCTCTGTCTGTCTGTGGTCCCGACCCCCTCTCTATCTGTCTGTGGTCCCCACCACACTCGGCCACTCAGGACAACTCTCTCCCGCCTGTCATCCAGCCTTAAGAACGGGCACACCCCCTGCTCTCTTGTTCCCAAATTCCGCTAAAATGGAGCTGAGAAAGGAAGCGGCTCCATACCCTCAGAATGATGCTCAGTGTGCCAAGCTGTTACTAGACAAGTTCCTTCAGCCCGGGTGCCCCCGGCTCTAGTATCTCATTATCTCCTAGCTGGTCACAACATCCTTTCGGTTCATTTCCCCTGGGAAAGTCCAGCTTTGGCACACTCCAGTGCATGAAGAACCGGACTTCTTCCATCCAGGGACCTGGCAGCTGCTGCCCTTCTCCTACCTACGACCATAACCATCAAGTCCAAAACTCCCTGGCTCCAGGTACAGCTTGAACTCCTGACCCTCCCATGCCTGGTATTTCTCCCCTGGCAGTGCCCAGGCCTGAGCTGGGAGCATATGCTGAGATATACTCTCCTGTCAGGGAAAATGAGGCTTGCTGAGGAATGGGGGAACAGGCTCAGAAGCAAGGGCTAGACACCCTAGTTCTTTAAAAATGACAAGAAGGGTGATAGAAAGACACCACGCAGAACTTCCTGGTGGTCAGACGGGGGGGGGGGGGGGGACCGGGGCAGGCTCTACTCAGAACCGAAGAGTGGGGCATAGACAGGGTAATAAGATGAGCGTTAATAAGAGGCTCCCAAAAGCCCAAGAACAAGACTAGGTTCTCTTGTTTAAAAGAGAGAAACAACCATGGGTTTGTTTTTAAATCGTAACTATCCCTCAAAAAGGTTCCAGCTAGATTTGGGGAGGGGAGAGTAAGGAATCAATCAGGTGAGATGTGAATACGGGGCATGGAAGTTTCCTGAAAATGGAGGGCTCATACATAAAAGAGAAATAAAAATATATCAATATCCCCCCTACAAAAAAAAAAGGGTCTCCCCAAAGCCAAGCTCCGCCATGGATTTTGGGGGGAGATGGGTGGCTCACCTGGGCAGGCTGGCCAGCCCCGGAGGGGGTGGAATCGCCGTGGAGGTGGGAACAGAGGGAGCTGAGGAGGCACACAGGGTCCACGGTCCAGCCGCCGACCTGTGTGTGTGAAGCAAGGGACACCCCATTAGGGGGAGCGGGCAGGAGCCGCTGGGGATGGGACAGTGCAGGAATGGATGCTCCAGGGGTAAGCTCTGGCAGAGGGGTGGGGGCTCGGAGTCATGGAGGCGGGTCCTCCACAGCCCTCCACAGCGGCTGGCACTCTACCTAGGGCCCCAAGTTTTTTTTTTTTTTTTTTTTTTTTTTGCATGTCTGTCTTTTCTCTGACAGGACAGAATTTTTCACCACCTGATAGAATCGTGATTTCTAGTTCCTAACTGCCTTCTTGCGCACTCCTTGATCTGCCTGCTTTCCTTCCCAAGGAGGTCACCTCTGACCTCACAGTGATGGGGACTGGACAGGAGGGACCTAACTCCTGTTGTCTGTGCCAACTCTGTAAAGGAGACTTCCTTCTACCCAAGGCCACCAGACTTGACTCTTCTAGGACTGTTTCCTCCTGCCCCTGGTCCTCTGCCACCCCCCCCAAGTCATCTCTCTGTCAATCAACCACTCCTTCTCCAAATGTTTGCCCAGCTTCACACCATGCTAGAATACTCCATCCAACTGAAAGGGCCCTGGGTCCTGCCACTGAGCCTGTAAAGGAGCAGATGGGAGCAGGACAGATAAAAGGGACGAACCTGAGCATGACTGAGCTACCATTCACTCCAGAAGTATCTGCTGGTCATTTGCTGAGTGTTTACCAGCCTCCACCTACCAATATACATAAATAAATGTTCCATGCCAGACTTGGCTGGTGCCTCTTGAAGCTTTTTCTGCTAAATCTCCCAGACAGTAACCAGGGTCCCCAGTTCCTCACCCTACCTGACCCCCAAACCATTGAAACTGGCCGCTGCTTCTTCTGACCCCTGCCCAGACCCACTTAGACTTCTGAGGTACAGGCACCGCTCGCCCGCAGCCCCATCTCTGACCATCATATTCTGCCCCACCCCCACTTCTGTCTCCACCGCTCTCAGGTCTCCTGAAGCCATGGTCCCTCTGGAGTCCAGAAATGTATATCAAGTGTCCACTTGGTATCCTAGGAAACTCCCTCCTAACTCCTCACCCCACCCCCATGATTCTCACCCATTTCTGCTTCTTTCCCAGGGACTGACATCTGTCTCCCCATCAGTCAAGAGTTTGATTTTAGCCAAGCGGTGGTGGCGCATGCCTTTAGTCCCAGCACTCGGGAGGCAGAGGCAGGTGGATCTCTGTGAGTTCGAGGCCAGCCTGGTCTACAAAGTAAGTTCCAGGACAGCCAGGGCTACACAGAAAAAACCCTGTCTCAAAAACAGGAAAAAAAAAGTTTGATTTTAGTTTTTGAGACAGAGTCTCATGTAGTTCAGGTCGGTAGCTGAGGATGGCCTTGAACTTCTGATTTTCTTGCCTCCCCATCTAAAGCAATGAGATTGCAGGCACACACCACTACAGCCAGTTTGTGCAGTGCTGGGAATCAAACCCACAGCCTCCTGCTACGAGGCCAGCACTTAGTACCAAGCCCTTAGCTGTGTCCTTTCCTGTCATTCCCTTATAGATCTAGACAACCAACAACCCTTGCCTAGTCGCCCCTCCCCCTTTGTCCAAACGCCTTTCCTTCCTTTCCTCCTTCTCCTGCCTCAAGCCTCCCGACCCCCAGATTCGATAAACTGTCCATAACAAATATAACCCTCCTGTCCCGCCCGACTCACCCCACTTTGTCACTCTGGTACCACATGTCCCACTGACCCACCCCTAGTCTTCTGTCCCGGCCAGAAGGACTCCTGTGCCATGCTCCAAATCCACTCAAGTCCATGCTGCTTCCCCAGCACCTGTGACACGGCCTTCTCTTCCCCTGTTCAAACCCTTTCATCCTGCTGGCCTTCATATGGGTCCCACCTCCTCCAGGTAGCCTTCCCATAAGGCCTGGGTAACTGATATCCCTGATCCTAAGCCCCCTCCCAGCTGACCAGGACCCTTCACACAATGTTTCATCTTCTCTTCCCCCAGCTAAGGAGGTCAGGGCCCTGCGTGAGTCTAAAAGTCCTCCTGATCCTCACCAACCTGAATCCTGCTCCCAGGGGAACTCTGGAGCCAGGAAAATGCAAAAGCCAGACCAAACTAGAGAGGATGTCTGGGGGCAAGCAAGGTCCCAGAAATATGGCAGTATGTCCTTGATCTCTGCCCCGGGGGG